TCTTGCGTGGGGCTTTCTCTGCTATCTCGGGGCTCTGTTTTTCCGCCCAGCCAATGACAGCCGCTCTCCAGTCGAATGCGCGCAGTGTCATGCGCCGCTAGCTGTCCAGGAACGGTAGACCCGGCGGTACGTACCGCCGTATCTCGCGGCAGACGGCTGCCAGTTGTGCTCCTCTCCCCAAACCCAGCAACTCAGATAAGTTGACGATTTTCTGCTGCTCGATCCCAGCATCACCGACCGCTGCCACCGCCTCCCACGCTTCACCCGCATGATTTGGCTCCCCGACCGCGAATGCAGAGCAGGATGGCCTAGCGGATCTCTGATACGAGGCGTCTTTTTACTGTTTGTTCCTGTCTAGCAGCGTCCGCCGCCCTCTAGAGAGAGGGTAGAGAAAAAGTTCGCCCGCGTCCGTCGCCCCTCTACCCACCACACAATCTCCCACTTCCATCATTCGTGCCGCTTCTCTCCTCGTCCGAGCCCGCAATGAAGTCGGCCAAGGCGTCCGCCGTGGAGGCGCCGTCGCACCGGAGGTCGCAGCCTGTCCGCCAGACGCGCACGAATCCTCCTCGCAGCTCGGCGACGGCTGGCCGCTCCGGGCCCCGAGACTCGCTGGGCGGCCCAGCTGGCGACCAGCCCATTGACATCTTCCCTGCCATCACCCACTTTGCCGACACCATTACCGCCCTGCCCAAGGAGCTCGTCCGCCACTTCACGCTGCTCAAGGAGGTCGACGCCAAGATATTCGCTCCCCAGGAGCAGCTGTTCAAGCTCGTCGCCTCTGCGAGGGCGCTCGCCGTTCCCGAGGCGCGGGCGGACAATGACGCCTCGAGCACGGCGGTTCCGCAATCCGCGCCTATGAGCGCCCAGGCGAGCTCCAACGGGGTTGCCCTCAACCAGCAAAGCCAGTCCGTGGCGTCGACCGACGAGGCCAGCGGCGGCGTGTTCGATCCCTCCAACCTCCACCGCCGCCAGCTGTTCCGCCAGACCGCGATCAAAATACAAGAGATGCTCGTGTCGCTCGAGGAGAAGAACCACGTTATCTCCACGGCGAACGAGGCGCTGCAGAGGCAGCTGGCTCGGGTGGAGGACGTGTGGCCGTATCTGGAGAATGAGTTCAGCGACGAGGCCAAATGGGGGAGCACTACCCACTGGGCCTACCCCGAGAATCGCAACAGCAAGGCGGCGCAGGCGGCTGAGCGGTCCAGACGCGATGGCGCGGCGGCCATTTCGGCGGCCGCACAGGCTCTGGCGGAACAGGCGGCCGCCCGGAGCGATGCTAGGAAGCAAGCCGTGCAGGCCAAGAAGAGCCAAAAGACGCACGCCGTCGACTCGGAAGCCGATGACCATGACGGTCGGAACAAGGACGGCGCCAATAAGAAATCCAGCTCGAGCAAAGTTCGGAAGACGGCCGAGAGCAACAATGTCGGCTTAGGCATCACCACCGGAGGCTCTTCCAACGGCAACCCGCCGCCGAAGAGGCGCAAAGTAGACAAGGATAAAGACAAGGACAAGGAGAAGGAAAAGGACAAGGACAAGGACAAGGACAAGGACAAGGACAAGGACAAGGAGAAAGCCGTCGCCAGTGG